GCCCCCATCCAGCCCCCGAGCCCGGCCGCCCCCGTCCAGCCCCGAGCCCGGGGCCGCAGGACGCGCACTGGCTCACCCTCCTCTTGCAGGCTCACGGGTCCCAGCAAACTGGTCCGTCCTGTCCGCCGGCCGGAAAGGGGGTCCCCGCCCTCCCCTTCGGGGCGCAGGTGAGGCTCTCGCGTCCGGCCTCGTGGGCAGGACGCAGGTGGAAATGCGCTCTCGTGGTGGGACGAGGTTCGGCTTTGAACTGCGGCCTGGCCGGTGGCCGGGGTGGGGCGGCAGGGGAAGGGCCTCAAGTTCCTGGTGGGGGAGAGGGGTTCCCGCCTCCCGCACCTCGGCTGCACCCTGGGTCGGACGCCCAGGCGGCCTGGAGGCCAGGGGGCCGTGCAGTTGGAGGCGGGTGGGGGGGCACTAGGCGGTTGGGGGTCTGTGGGGGCGGTCACCTGGGCAGCGCTGGCTTCCAGAGAGGTTTGGGGTGCAAAGCTAGAGCCCGGGCCAGGCTGGTCGGGAAAGTCCTGGGGGATGGGGAGCGGGGAGGAGCCCGCAGGGGGTTCAGCGGGCATGGACGCCAGGGAGGGCAGGAGGGCAGGGATGCAGGGAACGGAGGTCCCCCGTCCCTGGCATAACTGCTCCTAACCGGCTGATGTCCAACACCTCAGCCGGGGAAGCTCGCCCTGACCCTTCCTTTAGACTGTGGTTCAAATCAGATAACATCAGATTCACCATCTCAGTTTTCTACTTGACCTGCTCCTCACTGAGCTACACACCTGCCATGTATCTGGCACACGTTTTGTTGTTGTTGTTGTTGTTTGGGGGGGTCCGGTTGTGGGGCTTGAACTCTGGGCCCTGGGCGCTGTCCCTCAGCTCTTCAGCTCAAGGCTAGCGCTCTACCACTGTAGCCACAGCGCCACTTCCGGCTTTTTCCCCCCTGCTTATGTGGTGCTGAGGAATCGAACCCTGGGCCTCAAGCTCTACCACTGAGCCACCTTCCCAGCCCTCTTGCACACGTTCTTGAAGCACAGCAGTGTTTTGTTAAGTGTACTCACCTTGCACCTGCTTTCCGCAGCCTTTCATCCCTCAGTATTGTCAGTATACACAGTGAACGAGTCCCCTCCCTCTTCCTCAGCCCCCTTTCTACTCCATATTGCTATGATACTTGGCTACCTGTACTCACAAGGTGGAATCTTACAGTGTCTGTCCCTTTGTGGCTGGCTAATTTTCTTTAGTATTACCTAGGTCTTCCGTATTGTACTATATCAGGATTTCCTTTTTTCTCCCATTTGTTTGTGCTGGCACACCAGCCTGAGCCCAGGGACCAGGCCTTGCCCTTGAGCTTTTTCCCTCAAGGCTAGCATTCTGTCACGTGAGCCACAGCTCCACTTTGGGATTTTTGGTGGTCAATGGGAAGTAAGAGTCTCATGGCCTCCTGCCCACCTGGCTTGGAACTGTGATCCTCAGATCTCAGCCTTCTGAGTAGCTAAGATGAGGGGTGCTGCCTGTAAATTCATTTCCTAGCCTGGCAACAGCTATATTCAGAGTCTGATCTGGTGTCCGGGGTCCCTGGTGCCTTTTATACAGCTTATGAAGTTAAAACTATTTTGGAAAGAATGCTAAAATGTCATTTTTAGTTTTCATTCTTTCTCTTACATTGGCTTCCAGAGACCAAATGACTTGAGCTTTTCCTCTTGTGACCTGTGCCTGTGTATCCTTGTACATTTCTTGTTGGTTGTGGGGCTTGAACTCTGGGCCTGAGTGCTATCCCTGAGCTCTTCAGCTCAAAGTGAGCACCTTACCATTGAGCCACAGCGCCACTTCTGGTTTTCTGGTGGTTTATTGGAGATAAAGGAAAGTCTCATGGACTTTCCTTGCCCGGGCTGGCTTTGAACCTCGAACCTCAGATCTCAGCTTCCTGAGTAGCTAGGATTACAGGCGTGAGCCACTGGCTCCCAGCTGTACCCTTGTACTTCTAAAATCTTCTAAGGTAGTAGGCTTATATAAGTATATAGTATGCTCATTTTTCAGAGGTAAAATCAGTTTGTTTAGTGTAATTTTGCTATAAGGTGAATCATCCCAGAAGCCACATTTTTTTTTTGGAGTCTTTATTATACAGTTAGCAGGCTACAGGCCACCTGTTTGTTACAAAGGCCTGTAGCACGCAAATACACATAACAGAGTTAGAAAACATGCTAAAAAGAAGTAACAAAAACAATACCAACAAGCCAACTCAGCTCCAATGGAGAGCTGAATTGGGACACCATGATGACTGGAGACTGGCCAGGAGACAGGGGAACATGATCACGGAGACACATGTGGCATGGCGTAATGGCGGCTGGGCTGGGCCAGACCTCAATAGGTCGGCACAAGGGGCAGATTCTCAGGAAATTCCCAGTCCCGGGCACTGGACTGACAGATTCACTAACCTATCAGCCAAGTGCCCACCCCTGCCTCCAGGAATCCCGGCACGCCCACCACCTGGGAGGCAGGGATGGGCGGGGAGTTTTCTTCCCCCAGCATGAGTTTCTTCCTCCACCATGTGGCCAATATGGCAGACCTGACTTCCTCACTTCAATTTGCTGTCTTCACCTAAACTTGCTCTTGTCTTTGTGACTTTGCATTCTAGAATTTTCTTCTGTCTACCTGGAAAAACAGCAAAAGATATGTGTACTTGGTAGTCTTGATTTGAAAGCTGTTCTAGATGTGTGTGTGTGTGATATGGAATTATTTTATTTAGTAATTTCCATCATATATGCGTAAGATAGGTCATTGGCTAAGAGCGGTCTTGATCTGTGTCTAAATGCAAAGGCCTCCTCCCATAGAGGTTCTGTATCCCTCTCCATACCCTTCAGCCTCTATGTTTTGTATCTCCGTGACTTTTAGCAGTCTTGTACATGCAGGTCCCTGGGCATTACATCATGGCCCATTGCCCTTGGAAGTTGTGTGCTGGCATGGCCATCCTGTCAGAGGGCTACACACAGGAAGAGCTCAAGCAGGCTGTGTGGAATGGTGTGCTCCACAAGCTGTCCTGTGACCTGGAGAGCCACCTAGCTTTCTCCTAGACACACCTTATTCCCTAATCCTGCACAGCCCCACCCAGGCAGCACCCCTCCCATCCTGGGCAGGATCTGGAGCTCTGCTTCTTTTTCTTTTTCTTCAATATATCTTGGCCATTTTACTTCTCTTTCTGTCTTGTGGACTTATTCAAGACCCTAGAGACGAAGGACCTGATCCAGGTGTTGCATTGAGAAAAAGACTTCAGAATAACCCTTTTGAAAGAGATGCTATTTATTTTACATAAAAATATTTACAGCTTACCAAATAGTGCAGAGGGTCTTTTTCTTGCAACCATCTGCCTTTCTGGGGTGGGTCATTCTGGAGATAATGTGTATGTTCACACGACGTGGGGCAGGGTGCCGAGGCTTAGTCTGGGACCTGTCGGTCCTCTCAGATGATTTGTGACAAGTGTTGGACTCAGCATTGCAAACCTGTCTGCTGTCTTCGCAGTGTCCTCCATTCCCCCCGCCACCCCAAAGAGCCGTGAGGTCAGTTCAGAATCTCTGTCCCATCTTTGTGCAAATGACCTCCCAGTCCAGCCCGGGCTGGCTCTGTACTGGCTTCCTGTGAGCCAACTCGTAAGTTCTTATTGGTGAGCTTCTTGAATTTCTTAACAAACTCTGCTCCAAAGCTAACCATTGTAGAGTTCACTTCCGTTGCTGAGTTTGGGAGATAAAAGGTTGGTAGGTAACGGCACCTTTTTCCTCCCGCAGGGTATTTAAAGAGCAAATGCAGGTCTTCAGGGTGTTGAGGCTGCGCCCAGCCTGTAGATGCCCGAGCACTGTCGTGCCCTTCCGGCTTCTGGGTAGCTCTCCTTGGCAAAGCCCAGCAAGTGCCAGCTTCCACACCACGTCTTTCTCTGAAGCAGAAGCAGACCTTCCCCGGGTCTTGATTACAGGTTGGTTTCCTTCCCATGGTTTTTGCTGCGTTTGTGGCTCAGATTTTAGGGATGCTGCCTTTGTCTTTCAAATTGTGATACATTCCCAGAGCTTGTCCCTCCCTGCCGGAGGTAATGTGGTGAGAGCAGGTGACAGGGAGCTGGATTCATGGCTGTACTGGGAAAAGGGTCTCAGAATATGGCACCCAGAATGTCCGTTTTTATTTTATCTTTTGGTGCTGTCACTTAGGGTCTGGGTGCTGTCCCTTAGCTTCTTCACCGAAAGCTCTACCACTCAAGTCACCTCTACTTTTTTTCTTTTGCAGTTAATTGAAGATAAGAGTCTCACAGACTTACCTATCCAGGCTGGCTTTGAACTGCAATTCTTAGAGCTGAACCTCCTGCGTAGCTAGGATTTTTCAGATGTGAGTCATAGGTGTGCAGCTCAGAGTAGGTTGTTTTGAATCAGGGCAACCATTAAGCATCAGACACCGCCTTTCTCATTGGCTTTCTCTAGAATGGTGCAGATTTCCTTATTCACCATTCCTGTCAGATTTGGTTTTCTGGCTGAAATCCTTCTTGGTGTCTGAAGGGACTTAGGAATCTGGGTCCTGGTTGCTGCCCCAGAGCTCCATTCCCTTCCATGTGCGGCCAGGCCCAGAGGTTTTAGAACCACTACTGAACCATTACTGTACTTGTGTATGGTAGAAATAGAGAAATAAGTTCGCCTCTGCCCAGGGAGCATGTTGCCTTTGCCTCATACTGCCCCTGCCCACTACACGGGGTGCTGTTACAGCACATTCTAGCCCCCTTCCTGTTTGATTGGCAGGTCTTATTTCTTCTCTACTGCAAGATTACCACCCTTGCCTACCTCCACCAGGGAGCCATCTCTTAGGGTGGCCTGCGTTTAGTTTTATGTAACTAAGCTGCAGGAAATCTACTGTTGTATCTTCCAGCCCACAGGGTCACCCTCCTGTGAAATGTGTCCTCTATCCTCTGATGCGCTGAGTCCCTGTCCCTTCAGTTCCTAGCCTTGGCATCTGTCTATTTATCTAGTTTTATTGTTATTATTAAAGTACTGTACAGAGGGTTACTATTTCATGAGTCAGGTAATGAGTACATTTGGTTTGTAGTCAGAATCAGCCCTTCTCTCCCTTTCTCTCAGTTTCCCCTCTAGCCCCTGCCCGCAGAGTTGCATAGTTCATTTTCCACATAGTGTATACTGATACCATGGCTGCATTTGTTCACCTCTCCTCCAGCCCTTCCTGTACCCCCCATGTACCTCCCCTAAAAAAAACAAACAAAACCCTAAAACAAACAATACCTTCACTACCAACAGGAAAAAAAAAAAACACGTTTCCATTTCCTGGAATTTATTTTGACAAGTTGTGTTTTAATTGTTCAGAGGAGTTACCACCTTTGGTTCCCTCCCGTAAGAATGTCTTCCTTTTCGTCTGTGTGTGAATGCCTAGAGTCTTATATAGGTTCTCTTGTCCAGTTGTATTTTAGATCTAGCTTCCACATATGAGAAAAAATAACTGCCGTTTATCTCTCTGAGTTTGGCTTATCTCATTTAACATGATTTGTTCTAGATCTATCCATTGCCCTTCAAATGACATGATATTATTCTCTTGGCTGTGTAAAATTCCATTGCATGTAGTTACCACGTTCTTTTGATCTACGCATCTGTTGTAGGGCATCTGGGCTGTTTCCACAACTTGGCTATTGAGACTAGTGCAGCAGGGAACAAGGGTGTGGAAGTATCTTTACCGTATCCTGACTTGTGATGATCTGGGTCGATGCCTCAGCCTGGCATTGGTACATCTCCAAATTAGCAGCCGAATACAATTCATTGTAAATTACGTTGTGAGTGCTAGGATCTTCCCTTTAGTCTCTTGACTTCCTGCTTTACATCTTCCCCCTTCACCTTTGTAACCCAGCCCAGCTGTAAGGGAGGGGGTCAAATAATTCCTGTTTTGTGTGGAATGTTTTGGACCCCCGAGTTTCATAAACTCATTGAAACAGTAAGAGGCCAGGACCAAATTCTGCATGTGATTTTTCTCCTTGTGGCCCTGCCTCCCCTCCCCTCCTCCCCTTGCTGTCACTGGACGTGTCACTGAGTGGACCTCACGTCCTGGCTGGACAGCGCTTGTCGCCGCTCTGCAGCCGTGGGCTTTCACCTCCCAGCACATTCTGGGAGTGAATGGGTTAGATTTGGATGCAAGCCTCACCGTGTCTCCTTCTTCGTCTAGGGGGTCTTGGCCAGCTGGGAGTGGGGCTCGCTAACCTCTTGAGGTAAGAACCTGAAAACCTAAAGTGCAAAATCAGAGTCCTGGAGGCTGTGGGATCATTAACCAAGTTTCCTCTCTCCTGTTACTCCAACAGTCAGTTTTAAAGGTAACACGTCTAAATAGCCACATAGGGGCTGGCAGAGTGGCATAAGTGGCAGAGCACCGGTCTAGCAAGTGTGAGGCTGAGTCCAACCCCAGTACTTCAAAAAATAGCTACTTGAAATACGTTTTCCCTGAATGTCACACAGTTGTCGTGGGCCTTGACATACGGCCTCCACACAAGCCCTTTGCTCTCTTGATGGAGGCAAGGTGAGACTCGTGACCGTGGCGGCTCACTTGCTCTTAGGTATTGGGGACAGTGAACCTGGGGTTTGGAGAGGAGTGAGGAGGGAGAGGTACACTGCAAAGACATTGGTGACAGACATAGAATGAGAATGGGTGATGGACATAGAAGGTTTGGAAGGGAAGGTGACGGAGCATGCAGGAGACAGGAGTGGGCAGAGGCCCGTGTGGGTCTGCGATGAAGAGGAAGCGGGGCTTTGGAGGCTGGTAGGAAACCGCGGTTCCTGTTGAAGAAGATGGTTCTGTTGGACCTGTTACATTCATTCTGTTGCCTGTTTGTGTGTTTTGATTTTTCCTGTAGGAAGCGATTTGGGAAGGACAATGTGATTTTGTCAGACATAAAGAAACCCCCTGCTCCGGTCTTCCACAGTGGTAAGAGACGGGTCAGCCCTGCTGTTGCTTATCTTTAATTTTCAGAGTGCAGTGAAACAGATAGCTCATGGAGTCGGTGTGCCCATAGCCCGAACCAGGTTGCAAATGAGAGGAAAGGGACGAGGCGCAGTCATGTGCTTAAAAGTGTTTTACATTTGTAATAATCCTGCTCTTCAAGAGGAATAAGGCTAAGAATGAAGCCAGGAGCCGGTGGCTCACGCCTGTAATCCTAGCCTACTCAGGAGGGTGAGATCTGAGGATTGAGGTTCAAAGCCAGCCCAGGCAGGAACCGGATGTGGCGCTGTGGCTCAAGCAGTAGAGTACCTGCTTTGAGCTGAAGAGTGCAAGGACAGTGCCCAAGCCCAGAGTTCAATCCCCATGACCAACAAAAAAAAAAAGGCTGAGAATGGAGCTTGAAGTTAAGTTTTAGAATAATAGCTTTTGGAATATTATATTTGGGGAAAATATCTTGAGTATTGTCATTTGAGTTATTACTAAACTTACTGGCCCAGAGAGTAACAAGGAAAAGGAACTTTAAGAATCATCAAGGGCTGGTGGTTCACACTTACAATGGTAGCTACTCCAGAGGCTGAGATCTGAGAATCATGGTTTGAAGCCTGCTGGGGAAAATAAAACTTTGACTCTTATCTGCAATTCACCAGCAAAAAAGCTAGAGGTGGAGGTGTGGCTCAAGTGGTAGAATTACCAGTAGCCTAGGAAATTAAGAAGCCTTGAGTTCAAGTCCCAGTATTGTCTTGTATACATACACACGTGTGCACACGTACACATACACACAGAATTTGGAGAAAGATTGGGTAGGATGATATCTTCCTATACAATCCCATCCCTCAGGTGGTCAAAACAGGAGAATCTCAAGTTCAGGACCAGCCTGGACTACACAGTGGGACCTTGTGTGAGAAAAATAAAAGTAAATAAATAAGGAATAATAAATAAATAAATAAATAAGACTCAGATGTCTAGTTTTGGTTTCAGCTAAGCTCTGCAAAGAAAAAATAAGCAAACAAATCCCACAAAACCAAAACTAATGAATGACAATGTGATGCAGAATTGGTTTTAAGTTCCTACTTACATGTGTGCACATGTATGCACGTGCACACACACACACACACACACACGCACGCACAACCGTCCACCTCGAGGGATGTTTGCTCCTGCCTCAAAAGCACCTTTACATCTTAGTCCTTCCTCTCCCTGCTCCGCCTCTTGCTGCTTCCTGGGGCAAATGACCAGTTTGCTGTAAGTGGGGACAGTTGACCTTGAACAAAGTTGGCTCTGCTCTGGTGTTATTAGCGTGAAGAATGTGGGGCTTGCTCTTTTCTGCCACAGGTGAGCTGTTAAAACCTTAGCTGTGATCAGGGAGCCCACATGCCTTGGGTAACTTTCTGCCGCCTGTTCCCTCTGTGCCTCGGAGTAACTTTCTGCCGCCTGTTCCCTCTGTTCCCTCTTTGCCACGGGAGAGAGTGAACTGGATGTAGAACCTGGGCTCCTGGCACAGACACCTTCAGCTGAAGTGCCAGCTCTTGCCACCTGGGGATGGTGGCTGTGACCCCTTGACCCTGTTAGAAAATTGTTGCCTGCTGCCCAGTTGACCTGGTCACTAAATTGATACTGATGAAACTCACAAGTCAGTGACAGGCCAGCAGGCCCGTTTAGCTCTTCCCCGCCACTCTCTTCACGCCCGTGGTTCAGCTCTGTGTGTCTTACAGGCCCGTTTGTCTATGCCGACATCTTGGACTACAAGCACCTCCGAGAAATCGTTGTCAACAACCGCATCACCTGGCTCTTGCACTACAGTGCTTTGCTCAGTGCCGTTGGGGAAGCCAACGTGTCCCTGGCCAGGGCTGTGAATATAACTGGTGAGTGTCTAGCCAGTTTGCCCAGCTCTTTGGTAAGAAGTGATTTTCTTCTTCTTCTTCAGATTATAGTGGTGTCTGTTCATTTCAGGATTGCATAACATTCTAGACGTGGCAGCAGAACATAATCTGCGTTTGTTTGTGCCCAGCACGATTGGGGCTTTCGGACCTACCTCTCCCCGGAACCCAACCCCAGACCTGTGTATTCAGAGACCCAGGACCATCTATGGAGTGTCCAAGGTGCACGCCGAGCTCATGGGAGAAGTAAGCATCACTGGGCAGGATTGATGAGTGTCTGGGCCCCATGATTCTGTCTCTATGATGTTCTTTTTGTCTCAGCCATCTGCTGATCCGTGTTGAGGGAGCTTTCCTCTCCACTGTGCCCACCCTGTGTTTGTTTGCATAGCTCCCTGTGACTGCCAAGTGTCAGATCACCTTTGTCCCCTGAACGCTCAGCTGTGGTGTGGACACTTCCCGCCCCCATGGTAACCTTCCCCTATCTCCTAGACACTAAAAGGGGCTCATGGTTTGCACTTGCTTTCTGTTCATACAGTCCCAGCATGTAGGAAGCTGAAACAGGACAGTCGTGAGTTCAAGGTCAGCCTAGTGAGACAAAAAATAAATGTTTTCTACTATGAAAAACTTTGAGCCATCTTTTTCCTCTGTCATTATAATTATATAGTAAAATAGTAGGCAATGTCCTGCAGCAGGGATATCCTGGTCATTGCTCTCTGGTTCTGTCTTCCTGAATGGAGGAATACCTAGCGTGCAGCTCAGGACAGTGAGCAGCAACTCCCTGCTGGAGGCCGTGTTCATACAGTTCTTTCAAGATAAAAACTTAGCATGTGAACCAGGTGTTTGTGGCTCAGGCCTGCACTCAGGAGGCTGAGGTCTGAGGTTCAGGTGGCTGAGATCTGAGGATCAGGTTTGAAACTAGCCCAGGCAGAAAAGTCTGTAAGACTTTTATCTTCAGTTAACTGGTAAAAAGCCAGAAGTGGAGGTATGGTTCTAGTTACAGGGCACCAGGCCCTGTACCCCAGAACTCACACACACTCTCTCTCTCTCTCTCTCTCATTAAAGATGAATGATTGTTGGAAATTCTAAAATATTCCTTTTCTTAAGAACATTTAGATATAACTACATAGATTAGTATTTCAGGAGCATGCTGTTTCTTTGTTTCATCTGATTTGAAAGACACTGGGGAATCGAGAGGCCTTGCTCACGTGGTAGCGCGCTGCCTGGCAAGCTTGAGCTGTTGGTTCAAACCCCGTTCTGCACATCAGTAAACAGAAAACAAAAGATTCTCTGTTTTGAGTAAGCACTCTCTTTTTCATAGTATTATCATTACCGGTATGGCCTAGATTTCCGGTGCCTGCGATACCCCGGGATCATCTCCGCCGACTCCCAGCCCGGCGGAGGAACGACTGGTAAGTGATGCTTCTGCTTTCTCCTGTGCCGAGACAGGCTGTTTCTCCAGCCGTGTGCTGTCCAGAGTTTCTGTAACCCTCTTGACCCCTGTCAGTGAGCTCTTGTTCACTGCCGGTGTCCCCGCCAGCTTAGCATTGGTCCCCTAGTACTGAAATAAAACAGGTAACGGAGAATGCGGACTTGCTGGTGACAGCGTGGAAGCCCACCCCCCGAAGCACTGCCTCTTTCTTGAATACAGACTTGGTTTCTTCTTTTCATCTGTTTCTGTTGCTGTTTTTTTGTTTTGAGACAAGGTCTGGCTTTATAACCCAGACTGGTCTCAAAACCATGATCCTCCTAAACGCTTGGGTTATGGGCATGTACCACTATGCTCAGTATATTGCTCATCTCGATGTAGCTCTGACCAAAAGAGCTAAGAGAATGTCTTAAAAGGGAAAAGATTTGTTTGGAATGCTCACGGAACCCTCTGAGCATGGTTCAGCCCGTGGGTTCTTCGAATGTCAACACCATAGCATCAGGACATCTTTGCCTCATGGCAGACAGGGAGGAGAGAGGGGGGAAAAGGGAGAGAAGGAGGAGGAAAAAGAGGAAGGAGAAAGAGGAGGGAGGAGGAGAAGAGAGACAAGAGAAACGAGACTGAGAGGCAGGGACAGGACACTCCCAAAAGGCTCAGCCTTAATGGCTGTCTTCCTCCAGCTAGCTCTTACCTCCTAAAGTTTCCAGAATCTTCCCAAATAACATCACCAACTGGGGACCAATTATTCAATATACAAGCCCCAGGCAGTGATTCTCTTTCTACAGACACAAAACTCACATGTACCGCATGTGTTGCATATTTTAAAGGAACATAAGCAGAACTATTCTGGGCTAACCACACATCATTACATGCACTAACCTCGGGATTCTCCCATAGTGGTGCTGGGACACCGTATCAAAGATTCTTAAGCCAAACTGAGGGAGGGAGCTTAAGGGAAGCTTTGGTTCTGGTAACTTTAAAAAGCCATGGACCCGCTTCGTGTGCAGGGTGGTGAGAGGGTCCCTGGGCAGGACCCTTTCAAGGAGCTGAGGAGGTCGAAACTCCCTTCCTGTGAACACGGTGTTGGTGGCTGTTTTCCCTCTTCTTTCACAAGGGCCCTGTGGGCTTTCGCAGGCTGCCATCAGGCGACAGGAAGGTGGGTTGACTGCAGAAGCTGGTGGAGGGGCTCTGGCTGTCTCCTGTTTAACTCAACACTAAGGAAATTGTCAAGATATAAAACAGGCCATCTGTAGTAAATATGCTTTGCTTGGAAATTGTATCTTTTCCTTATAAAATACCATGCATGCTCATATGTGATAGGTGTGTCATCTTTAGAAAACAGTAATTAGAAAAACCCAGTTAACTACATAAGTAAATTTTGATGTAGGCCCTTTGTTCAGATTTCATTGGGAGTCTTCTTTAAAAAAAAAAAAAAATCCTTTGCTGGGTGCTGGTAGCTCATGCCTGTAAGTAATCCTAGCTACTCAGGAGGCTGAGATCTGAGGATCACGGTTCAAAGCCAGTCAGGGCAGAAACATCTGTGAGACTCTTATCTCCAGTGAACCACCAGAAAACCGGAAGTAGTTCTGTGGCTCAAGTGGTAGAGCACTTGCCTTGAGCTGAAGAGCTGAAGGATAGCACCCAGGTCCGGAGTTCAAGCCCCACGACTGATAAAAAAAAAATATTGTTATTATAAGGATGATGTCCAGAAGGGTGACAGTTACCTAAGTCAAGTAGTGAGCACATTTCTTTTTGAACGGTGTCACCCCTTCCACATTCTCTCCCAGTTTTTCCCTCCCATGCTCACCCACGGAGTCCTATCTTCTCCAGGACTAACGCACTGGGGCATGGGGCTGCTTTGTCATCCTGTTTCAAGGAAGCCCACAGACTGGCATGCTCTTTCAGACTACGCAGTTCAGATTTTCCACGCTGCTGCCAAGAATGGCAAGTTTGAGTGCAACCTGGAAGCCAGCTCCAGACTGCCGATGATGTACATCGATGACTGTCTCCGGGCCACGCTAGAGGTCATGGAGGCTCCGGCAGAGGCTCTCTCCATGCGGATCTACAACATCAATGCCATGAGCTTCACCCCTGAGGAGCTGGCCCAGGAGGTCTGCAAGCACGTACCGGGGTTCCAGATCACCTACAGCGTGGATCCCCTCCGGCAGGCCATAGGTGGGTACCCCGGGCCCAAATCAAGCTTTGGCCTTCACTGTGAGGCCTCTGAGGGGCACACAGCTCTTTCCAGTGCCCTTGTGTATTTAGAAGTTGTGTGAGATTGTAGTGATAGGATTAGCGCGGCACCTGAAAGCATGTGTGCCCTTGTCTTCCGAGAAGGTGACTGGGTGTGTGTGTATGTGTCTGTCTCCACTCGGAGGGAGAGGTTTTCTTCTTTGAACCTTCTACAGTCAACTTTCGTGTAAAGGTCCTCTCAACCATCTATAAATCTAGAGCCTGAATTACCCCCAGCCCTTCCTCTGTATCTCTCCCTAGCGGATAGCTGGCCGATGAACTTGGATGACAGCAATGCACGGAAAGACTGGGGCTGGAAGCATGACTTCGACCTTCCGGAGTTGGTGACGCTGATGCTGAACTTCCATGGTTCCAACAGCAGAGTCGCCCGGGCCAGCTGAAGGGGCGAAAAGCTGCTGGCCCCCACGCCCTGCACAGTGTAAGGGGACCATCGAACCCCAGGAGGCCACACTCTGTAGAGTTGAGGCACTGGGTGGACTGTTCTGTCAGCTCATACTGAATTTCTGGGTGTGTGTCGGGGGGAAGTAGTTTATTTTCATTTTCAAGATTTGAGGAGGAACTCTCAGCATTTGTTAATACCCTGAACTGACTCAATCACATACCACAGAAGGAAGACCTAAGCTGTAAGAGGGAATCGGTGGTCCTTGCTGGGATGGTGGAAGTATGCAAATTTGCCTTTAACTTAATTTAAATATCATTCCAAAGACATCACTGTCCTCTTCACCAGAGACCAATGATTGCATTGTAAAGACTTTCAAAGACACATTCCTCATTTAAAACTGTTCTTTATTGCCCGATTAAAGCATAAAAATATTTGCTCTACTAATTCTTTATTCATCCTGTTTGGAAGTCACTCCTTCTAATTATTTTTTCTGTGAGGAAATGTATCTGTAGGAAACTAAGAGTGTTCAGAAGGTGTGCCTGGTGAAGGGGCAGCCCCGGTTCATCTAAGTGGAGTCTGGGGACGGTCATCCCCTGCCCTGTGATGTTAGAGGCTAGCGTCCTCAGGGACTGCGCCTAAACAGTTTCTGGCTCCATCCCTCAGACTAACTCAGCCTGTGGGAATCACACAGTGGACCCAGAAGTTCAAAGCAGCTCTGAAGCCACTAAATAGCCCTTTCTTGTGACCTTCCTCAGGTTCTGGGGCCAGGCCTGCCCACAGAAGAGCTGCTCTCAACCCTCGGTAAACACTCTCGTCAATCCAGCTACCTCAGGAAGTTGCCTTCAGGCGGGACTCCGGGATCCGCAAGCCAACCACGGTTACAGCACAACAGGTGTTTCTGTTGTGTGTGAATGACAATCGGTTGCTGTGCTGTTGGAATTGGAAGGTGTTGGATTTCAGTGTGAGATTTTTGGAGTTCCGATCTGTTCGGCTGTTACATCAGTATATGTTCCTCCCCCCTAAACGTGGTAGAATTAAGCTCTAAGCTTATGTTTGTAGATTTTTTTCTGAGTTGCTTTTATAGCATTATTAAAATATAGTTTATACACTTAAGAATTTATGGCTTAAGAGTTTATTATGTTACAGAGTGGTGTAACCGTCACTGTCGTGGGAATGTAATGGCACACATGGAATCAGTGTTTAATGTATGCCAGAACTTCCTCTCTTATTGCTAAATTCCAGCCTATTTATCCCGTTTTCTCACTGAGGGATGTTAGCTTGGTTGTGTGTTTTTCTGTTATGGATGAGGCTTTATAAACTTAAAAAAATGTTATTTGTTTAGTTTTGAGAGTGCTGGTACTGGGCTTGAACTCAGGGCCTGGGCATTGTCCCTCAGCATTTTTTTTTTTTTTTTTTGGTCAGT